GGGGCCATTCTCACCTACTCGTATCTTGTTTTCGAGGCTGGATGGACCAGTGATATCAGGATAATGTTATGCTTTCAACCCCTTTGTAGTAACAGTCCACGAGACTGAACCTCAGTCCGTCATATGATGAAACTCATTCTTGTAAAGGTCCCCCGTTAAAACTAGGTCAATAAATTCACTGGAAGCGTAAGCTCTGCTAATAACATTGTAGGAAAATTCAACTTGTACTCGCCTTATCACATTAAACGAAATATGGCGAATACGCTTCATATATAAAATTGTATATTGCCATTATAATCAACTATGTTGATTAAAGACGCGCTTATTCGGGATTTACCGTTAGTCTCAAACCTTCTTTCTGTTGAACTCAATGAGTAGTCGATGTTGGAATACCTATCATTTCGATTGAAGAGGCGAGTGGAAGGGATTTGTAAGTTGACCTCACCGGAAGCTGTAAGGGTATCGCCTCGGAACTGTGATTGCAGATTTGTACAAATAGGTCCTCGACGCACCGCCCCGAGACCCCGATGAATCCTCACTGAAATTTCGTCCGTCAAGGCGAACATCGACAGAGACGGACACCATGCCCTACGATAATTGACCAAGCCTGAAGACAAGAAAGGGGGTCGGCTGCAATCCTATCTACTTCAATTAGCCTAACTTTGTCGTCATTATGAAGTATCTCATGATTTGGTTGAATATCATATGCTTTTCCTACATGTCTGCTGAAAAGGAAAGTGGCTGCAGGTGAAGCGTAAAATGAATGCTGCATCTTACCCTAAATTAATTCTATTTTTAATCCTAATATGTTGCCGCATGTGATTGCGTTCCAGTGCACATTAGTTGCATGTTGTGTATGTGTAATGTTCGTGGGACATGTGGAGTGTGATAGTCAATACCAGATTAGAGGTTAATCAAGCCTCTTCTTGCTCATATATACAGCATTTTCTCTCGTCCTCTTTTCTCTCTTCCTCTCGTTCTACCCAACAGTCACAATTATCTTCTGCTTAATTTCCTACTCTCATTCCTTCTATTCATGGTGTTGGCTGTTTTGTTGATTTCTATGGTTTCCCTAATCTTCCGCTTACTGGTTTTGTCTCCATATCCAGTTAAGCGTTTGGCCCTAGAATAATCTATCTGGTGTACTGTGTGAAACGTGTGCTCGGCTAGTTCTGATTGTTTGACCCACATCACCTTGCGGGCTATTGTATGCTCATATAAACTCTTTTGTATTGGTCGACAGGTTCCCTCACATAGACGCTACCAAATGAACACAAAACCTTATAGCATCCTGATTTGGAGAGAGGGTCCGATACTATGTGAAAAATGACATTACGGAGGAAAGTATTATTTTCTCCTCATACATTGTCTATGCTGTCCAACTTCCTCAATAATTGGCCTATCTTTTTTAAGAGCTGGTAACCTCAAGACCCTAGTCGAATGGTTCAGCTGACTAGTTTGCCCCAAATATAAACGTTTCTCTCTTTATATTTGCTGATGTTGTAAAATAAGTGTGAGGTAATCCTAATGGATCATCGCTCTCAACTAAATTTTTCCTTATTCGCCACAGTTCCTGGTCCCGCTGATTAACATCTGCCAGACACAGGCTCCTTATTATCATGGATTTTTAATCCCTACTTTAACTCCAAATGTATGGTTGAAAAACTTGTTTTTATATAGAATTAGTAGTTTGATTGACTCACCAAGAGTTTTGGAATTAGGAAAATCTCCTGGAACAAACGAACTCCTAATAAAACCACCCGGATATTTCCCAAGATTCGAGCTTGAACCTATCCCATAGTCAGTACTCTTATTTGTCTATACAACTGGACCTATTTGAAGCCAGGGCTGCCAATTTAAAAATGGACTATGCTTAGGCTATTAACCTATAAAGCATATTGGGCTCTCACTAAGTCATAAGTTTTAAACCTGTATCGTCCAAATAAATTAAGTTTGATTTAATCCTGAACCTAATCTTTTGTTTATAAA